TTTCTCACTAACAACAAATATTTTTGTTTTCATGTGTTTCTTACCAACACAGCCTGTCCTACAAATGTCTAGTGACATTGAACCTGAGTCATTGAGACTACTTGTAATGACTGGAAAATGCAACATTTTTGGATGCATGACTTGCCAAAGACTTGCCGCCTAGAGCAGGGGTCTTCAACGTTTTCAAAGCCAAGGACCCCCAAACTGATTGTGAGATAGAGCAAGACCCCCTAATTATATATATATTGTATTAAATTGTGTTCTATCAAACTGGTCCTATAGTCACTCTATTACATATGGAGTAATGTAACGAAAGTAATCCCTCCCTGGGATTATTAAAGTATTTCTGATTCCTGGTTGATGGGACAGGTGTTGTGAATGAAACGGTACCCAACTTGAAAGAGCTCCTGTGTTTCGCTGAATATGTGCATTGATGACTGAAAGACATCTTCTGCTTTCATTTATCTGTTTACTACAGTCTGTTGAATTCATGTTCATGTGGATTTAAAGACATTTTAATTAGTGCAAAAAAATGCAGGAGGGAATATAAAAAAAAGTGATCAACCAAGACTTTCGCGACCCCCTTGCAGTACCTCGACGGACCCCGTAGGGGTCGTGGACCCCCTGTTGAAGACCTCTGGCCTAGAGTGTCTCAGATGCTGCAGCTCCGGAGAACGTGCAGGAGATCCAAGACATGTCAGGAAAACGTATCAGAACAGAAACAGGCAGGCTCAGAGGTCCACGAATCCAAAGCCAGGTCAGGCAAACAGAAGAGGAACAGGCAGACTCAGAGATCCAGGAGTCCAAAGACAGTTCAGGCAAACGGTTAAGGCAGGAACAGGCAGGCTCAGTGGTTGAGAGGCTGAACAGGTCAGGATCAGGAAATTAGAAACACAAAGGAACTCTAGAAACACTCTCACACTGACTAAGGAGAAGATGATACAGTAATCTGGACCTGGTGACTGGATAAAGGTGCCTAAAATAGAGGCAGGGGCAGGTTGATCAGACGAGACATAATGAGCAAATGGGCAAAGTTATATTGGTGAATAGAATGAGTAATTAAGCCAGTCATCACTGCCAAGATCATGACACAAAAACTCAGTTTTCAACCTCATGCTAGTTAATTTTTTTCATTTAATTTGAGGATTTGAGTCTGAGTTTGTTGAACCTGCTTTGTGCTCCGGGCTCCTAGTTTCTGTCAGCTGTCATGTTTAGTTTTTTTTTCTTTTGCTGTGGACTGACACCTATGAAATACTCTTAACAAAGTGAGTTTCCAAGAAGAGGAAATTGTAAGGTACTCAAGAACAATTTGGTAAGATTATCACTAAGACTATACCTCACATGAGGAGGCTGCAAGTCAGTGTGCTAATGTGTGTGGATAATTATTTTCAGATCCCTCATTTTATACATTTAAGATGGGTAGAGCATATTTTTTATTTATTCATGTATTCACCACTAGATGGCCTCAGTAAGCATCTAAAGCCTATATGAGGGTTAAAAAGCAAAAGTTTACCATTAATCTGAATGTAGGCTATAAGTTCAATCTCATTTTTCATTGATTCTAATTGTCTTTTTTTATTTATTTTTTACATCAATAGTGACTCGTTTTCTGTACTGGCAAAGGTCTGATACGAATTCAGGTTGGCCAGGTCAAGGACTACTGTAAGGCCCTCATAGATGGGTCATGTGCCCTTAATTCTGATCTCGTATCGTCATTGCAATTCAGTTCTTTAAATTAAATATTCAGTGCCTTAAACTAATTTATTACTGCATAATCAGTGGTAGCGGAAAAATAGTCCTTAAATTTGAGGAAATTGGCACAGGAAAATTCTTAAAAGTATAGGAACAGTAGGTTCAGGTCAAGGAAACAAGAAGACCAGTTCCTAGCATCAAGGCCTTCATCATACAGGAAATGATGACACACTTCAGTCAGATGATGCCTAGCATTTTCAGGCAACAGAAAGAACCCAGAGTCCACTGCACAAGCACATGGGCTTACAATGGGTCTGAGATTCTCATTCCGATACCTGACAATAGGCAGGGTACTTATAGCATATGGACCTTTGCTTAGCCACTGCCAAAATGGTCATGTAAGATGATCTTGCAGGTAGAATAACATTCTCCTAAGTGTCTGCAGACTTGGCAGCATCTGCCATAGGGCTTCCAAACTTGGTGTTCTTTGGAAAAGGCCAATCGCCCTGTGCATTGTTGGTTAGAGCTCTGACAAAATGGAAAAATTAGTAAAACATCAGGGAGGAAAGATGAGAGCAGAGAAATCATCTGTGTTCATCACCACTTCTTAATGACTGCCATCTTTTCTTTGCCTCTGATTTTCACAGGTTGTCTTTACTGATGTGAGATGTTCTTTGTTACATTGAGCTGTTCAGTTGTTTTTCTTAATTTTTTATATACCAAGAAAAAAAACATTGTTTACAATTTAGAAGTTCATTGTAAATGTAAATTGTAAAAATATATTAATGAATTCTTCAGTTGTATTTATTATTAAATAATCATTCTTGAGCATTTACTTCAAAACATAGACTATTTCCCCACATTTTTTACTAACTTTTTTCTGGAGGTTTTTTTTTTACCTTTACCAGGGATCTCAATAAATGTAGCTGGAACTCAGCTGGGGAAGTTAAACTGCAGTAATGGTATAATTATGTCTGATCTGTTGCTTTAACACTCATAAAAATGGTAAGAAAATGCTAAGAAAATGATTATATGAGCAGTTTTGTCAGAAGTAAAGTGCTGAAAGCAGGGCTTTTTACACGTCCTCCTTTTGTTCTCTAACTTAATTAGTTTTCTTCATAGGTTTGATTGTACAAACAGATATTGGTAGCTAGAAACTGTCCTTTTTCGTTGACTACAACTCTTGATAATCTTCTAGATCTATGTCTGTTTGTTCATATGCATAAAAGTAAAAGTCTATTTATAAATCAAAGCTCAAGTTGATCCTGCCTCTGGTTTTCACTCTCCTGCAGACAAAAACCCCCGACTACCAATACTTGTTCACCAACTAGTACTTTGCTGGAAGTGAGACTGTGACATTCAGTAGCATGAATGAACTGCATGGACTCAATGTTTAGGTGAATGAATCATATAAATGAACTGATTCTAAAGGTTAAACACACTGAAAAGAGCCTCAGTTTTCATTACTATTATGCAAGCTTTAACAGTGAGTATTATTTCTCACTGTTACGTTACGTTTGGATTAGTGTGGATTAATTTCCTGTGATTGCAAAGTCTCCTAAAAAAAAAAAAGGTGAATCTTCTCCTCTGTCCATATAAATACTTTATTCCCTCCCATTCTAACTGGTTATACAGTTGTGGAGCCTAGTTACGAAGTGCTTGTACACAAGCATCTCAACTTTACAGCCTACCAATAGAGTGGGAGGAAGAATAAAAATTTTTAGTGTTTGTTTTTGGTGTAATTAAAATGTTGACATTTATATGCGATTACAGAAATGTATTCATCTTCATCTTTAAACAATCTAGTTTTTATTGGACTTCTGTTATGTGTATAATGCCTGTGAGGAGGGCTGGTGATTTAAGTCCCCGTATTAAACCTAAGCTAAGGCTCAATATTTTGAGTTTGCACAGTTCTTAAAGTCATAATAAAATTTACACAGTAATAAAGGATTCTGTAGTTGTATAGCATACCAATTGATGATAATAGTGGATATAGGGAAGTGGCAGCCTAGTGGTTGGGGCATTGCGCTTGGATCCCAGAGGTTCTGAGTTCAAACCCCACTCCCACAGACTGCCACTCTGGGTCCCTGAGCAAGACCATTACCCCCACACTGCTCCCCAGGTGCCGCACAATGTCAGCAGTAATGACAATTAAGTTGAATTCTATTCAAGGTGGATCTAGCCTCTATTTTAAATGAATGAAATCATTACCATGATTTACCTCATTGAAAGTGATAGTTTGTCAGCTATTGTATTTACATCCTATATTTTCATCTGATTAAAGCACTTTAGTTCGCTGTTGGAATTTATTGACATGTCTATGGCATTAGTATTCTGCCAAAAGTTCACACAGGCAATAAATACACATACAAGCAGCTATATTTCACACAAACACTCATAACCTACTCCTTAAGGGCATGTTTGACATATTACATGTGCAAATAGAGTCCCACCGGCTCCAATATATCACACTGCTTTTCTGCCCATGAGTTGTTTGATTTCCACACAGGCAGCCTCCCTCCTCCTGGCTTCTGGATCTTTCTATGATCTCTCCTGTCAACTTCTGTCACTTTGAAGGTGTTACCCAGCGGACAAAGCAGCCAGCCTGTGATTGGCTACTTTTCAGGAAATCCTGAATCTTGAAATCAGGGATGATGGGAAGATAGATGTAGCCAAACACAAAGCAATCTTGGACGAAGACCTGTTGGGGATTGTAAAGACTTTAGACTTAGGTGGAATTTAATTCTGATGACCAGCCCAAATACACAATCAGTGTACAGACAGGCCCAAAACAGGTCAAAAGTCCAAAGCAAAATCTAGAAAAGAATATGTGGGAAAACTTAAAGTATTATTGTAAGGGTAATTTTTGTGACTATAAATAATAGACAAATGTTTCAGTCTCCAGGTGTGCAAATAGCTGCTGAAAGCAAATGTGCATGAGCCTTTTCCTATCCTTTACATCAATATGCTGCTTGTAAAAATATACTCAACATCATATTTTTTTTCTTTGTTTCTGATCCTCAGCATCTCAAAATGAAAGAATGAAAATAACTAATGAGAGAATCTCCATCCTTAGTAGCAATTGCATCATACCAAAAATATTTTACACAAGATCAGAGACAAACAAACATTGTAAACATTCTGATGTGTAATTTTAGGCATGCCTGTTTTTAAAAAGTCAAGGAATTTATTGCACCCCCCCACCCCCCACCCCCTTAAAAAAATAATAAAAAAAAAACATAGTAATCACTATTACATCACTGCTCATGTTCTGTCAATATAAGGGTAGCATTACTTTTTGGCTTATTTTATGTACTAATAGTATAATTTACAGTAAACAGCAATCGAATATAAATATCCTACTGAATATTATCATTCTAATGAAAAAAAAAAGAACTTTATATGAAACTAGTTATTTTTTCCGCATGAAACATAGATCAGTCTGCATAGAGCATAGATAGGCACAGCCAGGCTGGGGACTCCAGCCAAAGCGAAGATAGCTGCATTGATCCATGAAGGGTATTCCACTGATGCCAGAGCTGGAAACATGTCCTGTAACCAAGGCAACAAAGAACAAGTTTATCTTCTCAGGATGATTGAAAGTGCTGTACATGAACAAAACATGGCAAAGCTTTATAGGGGTAGGTACTGAACGCTAGAAAATAAACATAAACTAATGATAATAAAAAGCTGTCCCATAGAATAGAATAGAATAGAAAATCAATTCTTTGTTCCACAATGGGGAAATTCTGGCAATAGACTCAACTTTTATTATTTGAATTTTTTCTGTTATACTGAAATGCATCAGAAACATAAACTAATATTGTTTTTTTAACATCTGGAAGAGAACATTCAAAGGCAACTCATGTAAAGCATTTTTTGTTTAGCACTTTTAACTGTTGTCTTGTACTGTAGCTTGTTCCAAATGAGAGGATGTGAAGTCATGCATTGTCTAACCAAGAAACGGTTCATTTTTAAAATTTATTTTAATGCATACAGTAGTTAAAAGGGTAGCATTTAGCTGCTTATATCTTAAATATATTTTATCTTAATCACAGATTACTCAGCTTGGAGTTTCAAGGATTTTTTTGCTTTGTTTTAGAGTTAAAGCTAAAGACTACTAAAAGCAGAGACAATTTATTTATACAATCTAAAAAAATCTTGTTAATTTTGAGGAGACACCAAATTAAATGTTTGTTCGTGTAAATAAGTTTTCAAAAGATTGAATCAATTGTACCTTGCAAGAGTAAATAGCAGTATTTGAAAAGGAGTAAATCTGTAAAGCTGTCAGTGTTTATTGCATCCTAATGGAGGTATCTCCTTGATTCTCCAACCTTTTAACAATCCAATTAAATTAATTGGGGTTAAAATGACATATAAAGTGGTCTCAAAGTTTAATATCTTACAGAGTTGGGGTCCCAGACCAAATAGGTGAGCTTCTGTTGTGCTTGAGTCACCAGATAGAAAATCAGGATGACCAAGACGATCAGAGGACTGATGACTCTCCATGTGACCTGCCAGAAGATTGATGGCTTATGACCAACCATGAACTCTATGTCTTTATTGAACCTGTTATAAAAAAGAATTTTAAAATATATCATGTAATATGATTACCTGTGTATCAAATGACAATTTGGGAAAGTTTACTTACCTGTCTATGCCGTAAATGTAAACAACTGCTATCATCTCAAAAAATCCAATGGTAAGTAGGGGGACTGATCCGGCAAAATTATCAAACAAAGTGACCCAGTAAAGACCTGAACGCTGCGCAAAGAGCAGGCAGATGATGAAGGAAATCAAACATGTCAGCCCTGGAACAGATATGGAGAAGAAAATAGAGGAGCTGAAGATGAATTCAAAGAAGAACGGTAGGAATGTTTCTTAAAAGTCAGGTTACCGGTCAGTACTTCGTGGGGCCATTTTTTAGGAAATAATCGTAAGTCTTTTAACGGGACTACCACTCCTTCAATGTTGCCAAACAGAGTAGAGAGTCCCAGACAGAGGAGCATGATGAAAAAGAGGACTGACCAGATCGGGGAGCCTGGCATCTTAGTAATGGCTTCTGTAAAGACGATGAAGGCCAGACCTGTTCCTTCCACTCCCTGAGCAACCAAGCACACATTAGGATTTTCATTAAATATGATCTGATCAGAGGTTTTTGAATGATCCCTGATCATCTTTTAAACCAGAAGATAATGGGTCAGTAGTAATGGTTGATTCCTTTGTCAAGCTTCTTCCTGGTGTGACTGTGTATTTAAGTTTATTATTCTATGTTGTACTAAACCCATGATTTTCTTCAGCTTCCTCTTGTTCCTTGTATTAATTAGTCTCCTTCCATCGTTAAAACACTCAGTGCTCTTCTTAACCTGTTTACTACTCTCTTAATGGGACTAGGTTCTGTATGTTTAAGCTTAGTGGTTTTCATTGTTCCTTGCTAGGTTCCTCCACTGTATCCTAGATTGTTCCTCGTCCCATTCCAATTGTGTCTATTGTTCTAATCAAATGCTTCTATTAGCCATGCTGTTTGTGGGTTCTTGCAACCTCACAACCCATGACAGAAGAACCCATCCGGAATCATTAAAAACCAGGGAGCTTTAACACAGATTAGTTGTGATCAGTGTGCGAAATACCTGCCTTCTCCATTATTTTTGTAACGTTGTTGTCAACATTACGTCTTTCTTCTGTTTGGCGTACACATGTTTAATTTGAATACGCAAACAAGATTGGCTGGCTCCACTTGGCAAAAAACAGAACATATTTGTGAATAAATGTTTTGAATTTTAAATACTGGACTGGACAGCTTAAAAACATTTTGGTGACCATTAATGACAAAAAAATATTTAATTTTTACATTTTTTTTTTTTAACACAATTTAAGATCCCCTTTAAATTTTGCTTTTGAGGCTTTCAGGGGGTCTCATGGGTTAATCAGGGGGGTCGACCCCCCCCCGGACCCCCTGTATTTCGCACTCTAGTTGTGATTAGAGATGGGGACAACAACGTGAGTCTAAACAGTGAAATGCTGAGGTAAGTATCTGAGTAGGGGAACTGAGAGAAGGAGACTAATAAATACAGGAAAAAGAGGCAGGCAAACTAAAACCCAAAGAGAATTGCATATTAATAAGAGAATTATATATAATTCATAACCAGATCATCAGAAAGAAGCAATAAGTCAAACGCATAAGAATACACTAATAAGCCAACACTTTGCTTTACGAAGTGTTGGCATATTAGGATTATGATTTTACACATAAAATAAAACTTACAGAACAAACCCCAGTGGTGCAGGACTGCACTTGGGCACCACTGACAATTAGAAAATTCATAACAGGTAACAATCATCCACAGGAGACTGAAAAGACTTGTCTAAAGGACGTACAAACTGACCACATGAAGCAAGCGACCAGTTGTTGTACACAAAAAGCAGTTCAGGATGCTTTGAAAACAACTAAGGTATGAAATAGATTTAAATTCTATTGTGTTTCCTTCAATGCTGCTTTTAAAAACATCATTGGAACAATTAGAAAAAGATGTCTTTAAATGTCCTTCCTTTAGTTCTTCCTCCACAGAGCATAGGACTGAATTTTAGCACAAAATGTTTGCATTTGGTTTATTTCCTGACCAGGACAAGATCAGATTTTAGGATATTATATGTTTCAGTCTTCTGATAATATTATGCATCTATAATACTTACCTCACTGAGAAGTTTCTGCATATCACAAGTTTGGATGTTAAGTAGAGAAATGACATGAGGATAGGAGCTGTTCAGCTGATTAAAGGCTTCATCATAGCTGGTTGATGTGATGTTGTCCTCAGGAAGATTAAATGTGTTCAATAATCTCACAATGTTTCTAAGAATTAAAAATAAGAATATTTTATACAACTTTGACAAGCACCAGTGGTCTTTTTCCTATAATATGCAAAAAGATTGGAAGTACTTACTCAGAGATACAGTTTTCGTATTTCTCTGTGGCTCTGAAGCCAATGATGGAGTAGGTCACCAAGGCAGCATAAATTGATGTGAGCCCAGTTACAAGAGAGAGGATCACAGCATCTTGCACGCAGTTGTTACTGTGAAAAAGAAATGTAAACAAACAACCAAAAAAGTTTGAAATTACACTTCCTTTAGAATATAAAATTCCTCAAATATAAAAATGTGCATCTCTTACTGAACAGGGTTGTAGCTTGAAAAGGAAATGAGGCCTCCCCATGCCAAGCCAAAGGCGTAAAACACCTGAGCTCCTGCATCCAGCCAAGTAATCGGTTTAATCAACTCATCCACCTTCAAGAAGGTGACACACAGTACAGAGAGATGTTCCTTTAAAATATGAAATCACAACAACTTTTTTTTTCTCGGTTATAAAATTTTACAAAACGCACGTCTGGTGTGAAGAGGAATTTGATTCCGCTCACGGCACCTTTCAGAGTTGCTCCTCGGATTAGGAAGATCGCCAGCACAACATAGGGAAGGATTGCTGTGATGTAAACGGCCTAAGGAAATGAAGAGAAAAGGTAAGATAGTAGTAGGCATGGCTGGCCCAACAAGTGTAAGTATAACAGCTTCTATACCTGCAGGAGAAAATTATCATTTTAATGCATTAAAAACACTTTTATAAAAGAGTTTCCTGCTGGTTTTGGTTTTAATACATTCATCTCTCATCCTCTGATAAAATTGATAAATTTTGACAGCTACTTCCTAGTCTCTAATGAATTGGATTGGTATTAAAGGTATTGTGGAGGACTCTTTAAAAGAACCGCCCTCTCCACTTAAAAAAAAAAGTGCATTCAAGTTCATGCACACGCCCATTTATCATCATGCACGCCCTGTTTAAAATGTGCTGTTCTCATAGCTCATACAAGCTTACTGTGTCCACATACAGTGGGGACTATATAGTGGACTTTATAGCGAACTCAGCTAACTGACCAATCAGACAGATGATCACTGCTTTTTGCTCTGTTGGTCACGTAACTTTATTATTATACATTTTACATATATACAGCCTATAGGCCTGGTTAAACTCCCCGCAGCAGTGTTTCACAGTGAGCTTTGGGTCTAGATACGGCTGAGGCGGTGAGGAAGTGGGGGCGAGTTTGTCCAACAATCGAGGGACATGACGGCGAAAAAAAGCGGGTATCCAGGTGGAAGAATTGTCCCAGCATTCTCGCACACCTCGCTCTTCTAGCTGGTCCAACTTCACGAGTTGTTTTTCACAATTTCGGTCATAAAAACAAAACAAGTCGGCCTTCTGTCTGCGGTCAACTACAATTTGGGAGAGGTGCAGCGGAGTGTCTGCGGAGGGGGCGGGGACTTGCGAGGAGAGCTCTCCGTGAAAAGCATTCTGGGATATATTTACCTCTTCTGAGGCCTTCCTTTCTCCTCATATACTTTTTAGACACTTTTTCTCTTACAACCCTCTGCCATTTTCTAAGAACCGGCGTGAGAAAGATGAGCTTCAATGACTGTCTGAAACCGTAGCTCACAAAACATATGCTGCTGAAAGTGCTCATGTGCACAAAAAGATAGTTAACAGGGCAACCAAGTAGGATGACCTTACGTAAACATAATCACCAAATTAAATCCTCCTAATTTAAAATTAGGAGGACCACTTATTTAGATGATCCACCAGGAAATAAAAGATCGTCCTCTGTATATTTAAAAAATAAAGCATATTAATTGGTACTCTTTTAAAACATAAAATTGTTTATGTTAATTAAAAGGTGTTGATTTACAATATGCAGACAATAACATGAATATCTGAAATAAAACAGTTTATATTTTTTACCTTCCTAGTTATGTTTCCAAAGTATTGTGAGGAAACAAACAACTTGATTCCTTTTTACTCCAATGGTCATTTTTATTTTCTGACTAACAAATTTAGGGTTAAATTATTTACCATCATCAATCAATTAATAACCAACCTTTCCTGAAGTGCTTATTCCTCTTATGCAGCAGATGGCAACTATTGTCCATGCTGCCAGGAGACAAACCACCATAGGCCACTGAATTTCCCCAGATTTGGCTATTGAGTCAGAACTGTTCAGAGTCTCTCTGTAAAAGAAATAATCCACAGTGGAGCTCCGTTGGCATTCCGATACAAATTCTGAATAGGGAAGAAATATATTGAAGTGTAATCAGCAATGAAATATGGCTGTAAAGTAGCCATGTGTTGGCTGGAAATTAGTAGTAAAATACCTGTCCTATTTTCATTTATTGGACATTGAGTCCAAGGCAGAGGTTCTTGAAAAGAATTGAAGAGATACCACAGGATCCAGGCTATTAGGGTGTTGTAGTACAACCCAACCAAAAAGGACACCAACATGGAGGCAATACCTTTACAAGAGACCTTATGTTAGATTTGAAACAAAGAAATGGAGATATTAAGCTCTATCTATCCATCTTCTCCCGCTTGGTTCTTGTCATGGCAGCCACTGCCTTCCTCCGGCAGTCTATGGGCGAGAGGACAGGTTGCCAGTCTGTGAAAGGGCAACACAAAGACACACAACCATGCACACACACACTCACACCTAAGGACAAATTTCATAAGCTAATTAACCTAGCAGTCATGTTTTTTGATTGTGGGAGGAAGTCTGAGTAACCGTAGAGAACCCACGCATGCACGGAGAGAACATTCAAACTCCCTGCAGAATGATCCCGGGCCAGGAATGAAACTCAGAACCTTCTTGCTGCAAGTCAACACTGGTAGCCACTGCGTCACCCTATTAATTTCTAATATACTGGATTTCTTTTTGTACTTACCAATTCCAGTCAGATAGGGGCTGATGGCTCTCCATACCCCCACGCTGCCTTTTCTCAGACGTTGGCCAATGGCAAACTCCATCAGTAAGAGAGGCATTCCTTCCAACACCAGCAGGATTAGGTAGGGAATCAAAAAGGCACCTAGATAAGGCAGCAGCATACCTTGTTAACCAACATGTCTGTTAAATATTTATGATTTGTAAGATGAAAGGAAATAAATGTAATTTATCCCGGTGAAATAAGCCTATGGGAAGTCCTATATTACTCTAGAGCAGGCATCCCCAAAGTCAGTCCTCCAGGGGCGCTGTCCTGCAGGTTTTAGAGGTTTCTCTGCTTTAGCACAGGAGATTCTAAAGATTGCTGTTCAGAAAAAGCCTTTTAATCAACTATCAATGTAAATCAGCTGTGCTGTAGCAGGTAAACCTCTAAAACCTGCAGGACAGCGGTCCTCGAGGACTGACTTTGGGGATGCCTGTTCTAGAATCTTTGTGGTCATTGTTATGGGCAGAAACTTGTGCCATCAGAAAAGGAATTTTAATTGCCCAAAATTAATCTGCATATGAAAAATTAAAAATATTGGTTTGAAAGTGAATTTCACAAAATTAGACCGTGTTAGTAATATGAAACTGAATAAAAACTGCATTTCATTAATTAAAATGGAATTAATTTCATTTAGATTTTTAATTTTGCAGTACAACAGGTAATAGAAAGGTTTCACGTTTCAGCTTCAGATCTCCCGCCGTGCCCCAGTACTCACATCTATACTCTTTTCCTTCGGGAACGCAAATTAAGATTACGTTAGAGCATACATTATAGTAAAGTTTCCAGACAACAGAGGACACATCACATATGAAGAGTCCACATGGGAGGGAGGAAGTTTAACACGTGGTGCAGAGACAACAACCCTGGCACCAGTGGCGGCTGGCCTTATCTGGCGCTAAGACATGAAAAAAAAAAAAAAACATTATTATAAAATTAAAATATTTCGAAATATATACATTGATATATATTTTTTAGAAGTGCAAGATAAATATTTAATGTTTAATGATGAGTAAGGCGCTATTTCATTTTTTGTCTGATTGATGACGAATACCGCCCAAGGGTGAAAAAATGTTTGGCCATTCTTGTAAAAAATTGTACATGCGCAGTAGCTCTTCTGCAAAACACATTAATAGAACTCCGGGCGCACCAAAGCTACACCTTACAACATAGTTGTAGTGCGCGTGATTGACGGGCCGAGTCGTGGAAGTGAAGTCCCTTAAAACAAACTTACCAAAAAGAAGCTGGAGGTGAAATCGTTTGGACCTGATCTGCCGAACATAAAAATTCATCAGCAGCCCAAAAGACAGATGGAGACGGTACACTCTTTTCCAGGACCTGGTTTAGCTATAAGGCTTGGCTAACTGCATGCAGCGAGGCTAAAGCTTTATTCTGCTGCCTTGACTGCCTGCATCCTTTTCAAATATCAGGATCTGACCCAGCATGGATTGAGACAGGTAGGACTGATTTAAAGCACTGTTTAGAAAAGCAAAGAAGAATAAACACTCTGGGATTCACATGGAAAATAATATAATATAGTTTACTTTTACTGGATGTTTTTTTTTTTGCATAGTTGCTCTCAAATATAACATTCTTAGAAAATAAATAGTTTTGATATATTACAAATATGTAAGACGAGGCATCAGAGCAGAGATCATGACAGTGTTGATCTTCTAAAAAAAAAAAGGTTTTTGATCTTTAAATGTTTATTGCTGTAAATAGAAGGGAGTTAAACCTTATTTTTCCCCTAGCACTTTCAATTAAGCTACATTTACTAAATTTAATTAAGCTACTGAAAAAAAAAATGCAACTGTTTTTTTTGCATTTATTTAATCATATTTAGTTACTTTAACAGAATAGTTTCATGTTAGCAGGGTAGGACGTAAAAAAATTGTGTTAAAGTAACTAAATATGATTAAGTAAATGCCAAAAACGGCTGCAGATTTTTTTTTCAGATAGCCTATCATTTGTTTACATGTCATTTGCTATGAATGTAATACATTTACAAACGTGAGAGTTTTGCTGGTGGTCGTTTGACATGATGCAGGACATCCGCCAAATTCCTGCTAGGTCCACTTCTCCAGGTTGTAATGCAGCCATACAGCTTCACTATATGCACAACAATCTGCTCCAATACTTTGGAGGATGCAGTAAAATAAAGTTTCAAGGTAAATTAATTCAGTTTCAAATTATTTAATTCAGTTAAAATTCAGTTTCCCTTTATTAAACACAGTTCCAATTAGGTGAAATTTACTTTCAAACAAATACACTGAATTCACTCTAGACAAGTCAAGTTCATTTTCTGACATACAGTTTAAATTTAGTTTCTCAAGTTAACTGATGTTCATTTCCCCTGTGGAAAGCTAAAGTCAGATTCCTTGTGTGTGCACACAGACTAGGCCATTAAGGTGATTCTAATCTGGTCATAAAATTATATCAATAAAGATATGGATAGATTTTAAACATCATGAATGTTACCTAGATTATGAGTTATTTTTTAGCTTGATTATACAACATAAAGCAAATAATTCAACATTTAAAGATATCTACACAATTTCTTTTAAAGTTAGACTTGTTTGTACAGAAGCATAATTATTATAATGTTATGTTTGATCAGATGAGCCTGCTGTGTTGCTAAGAGGTCAATTGAATGTACAGTAAACAAAAGTAATTATCTCTAGAGGTACGCTGTTCTAACATTACATTCTGCAAATATTTGCTTCCCAGATGTTGTGAAAAATATTACATCTAGAAATGTGTTTCATTAACTGTAGTTATTCCCCACCCCCACCCCCCAATTTTCCATATTAGCGTTTCAAGATTCAGAATTTTGCAAATAACATAAAAAATTAAACAATTTAAATCAGACAATTTAACAGTAACTCCACAATAAAATAGCATTTTTGCCAAATACATTTTTGATGACTGCTTATAATTTACTCCTAATAAAATGTAATTTGAAGAAAAGCTCCTTTTAAGTGAGAAATTTTTTTTTTTGTCTTCTTTACCCAACACTGTAAGTGTTAGCATTGATCCAGTTTGGGTAAATCGAACTCCAACATGCCAGTAAAACAATCTTTCCTCTTGCATGGCCTTTCTAATGAAAAAAAATAACAAATGCACTGTAAAGATAATTTTCTATATACATTTTAAGCACAAACCTACGGTGGCCCTGAAGTGCAAACTGCAACTACAAATCTAAAAGCGCAACTACATTAAGGAAATCGCAACTACATAAAGCAAAGCGCAACTACATTAAGAAAAACAAAACTACATAAAGCAAAGCGCAACTACATTAAGGAAAACACAATTACATTAACCTACCGGAAAAGGTAGGTACCAGTGGGAAACATGAGACATCGCTGATTGGACGACGGCGCCGTTTGACCCTTGAACCGGAAGTTGCGTCGTCTGAATGGTCCAGCTTTTTTTAAGTGTGTCTTCAGTGTACGCATACTAACTGAAATTTCGTGATTAGTCTTGAGCATATCCAGTATCACCTCGGACGTATGTCCTGATTCAAAATATTCCTGGATAACGGCAGCTATGTTTGGGGCGCCGACAATATCTATGTTTTCAAAAGCCGCAGCAGGCAGAATGACTTCCGTTTGGTTAATGTAATTGTGTTTTCCTTAATGTAGTTGCGCTTTGCTTTATGTAGTTTTGTTTTTCTTATTGTAGTTGCGCTTTGCTTTATGTAGTTTTTGTTTTTTCTTAATGTTGTTGCGCTTTGCTTTATGTAGTTGCAATTTCCTTAATGTAGTTGCGCTTTTAGATTTGTAGTTGCAGTTTGCACTTCAGGGCCACCGTACAAACCAGCTTGCAGGTACAGACAGGGTTTACTTATGGCATGTACCTTTTGTAACATAACCACTCTCAATAATGGGCTAATCATTAACAACAATAAAGATTAGTTGTTAATGTTAGGATTCATTTCTTTGAAGTGCCTCTTTTAATGAGAAAATATTTATTCAATACCACTAATTGTTCCAATTTAAAACACTTGTTGGTCTTTGTTAGAAATTGTCACATTAGTAATGAAAAACAAAAAAATATATATATCAGATACAACACTGGAAAAAAAATGTTATCTAAAGTCATTTTTTTCTTAAAACAAGTGCATTTGTTCTTGAATTGAGAAGGTGAGACACTTTGCCAATGGATGCAAAGTGTCTATCTTATTATCTTATTTTAAATAAGTAAAAATTATTTTAAAGTACTTTTAAAGTATTTTAAAAGTAAAAATATTCAATCCATTGGCAGATCATCTTTTTTATCTACTCAAATTAAGGGTAAATACACCCATAATGTTAGAAATATTGACTTATTTACAAATCATTTTTGCAGTGAACAGTCTAAGCTCAGTCAAGCCTGAAACATGCAATAGAGAATGCTTTTAAAACATGCATTTAGGACTTTATTACACTTTAATGTGTGCCCATTTAAAATGTTGCTGAATTTACATGCAGCTGAAACACACATGGAAACACAAATGGATTCTCTAAACTAATGTGTTCAAAGTCTCAAACATGATTCTGAGTTTCTTCATGAGAACATTAGAGAATCATTGATATACTCTGAGGAAAAATGCATGAGCATTTCTCTTTTTTACATGAGTGATTTATTAACTGTTTGCATGGCTGCAGGCTCAGGAGAGAAGTTACTGTCTTTAAAGAATAAATAAATAAAATAAAAAATTAAATAAAGCTTGTAGATATTTTCTTAGTCTTTTAGCCTTTAAGAGCAAAATATTCCATTAGTGAATCTCACAAGCTTTAAGATTTCAGTGCATCATTATGTGGTTCATTTACTGTATCATCTTACCTCCTCCATGACTCTGACACAAGTAGGGGAATCGCCACACATTCCCCAGACCAATGCAGAAGCCTACACATGTCAGTATGTACTGGGCTTTGTTGTCCCACTTGGGCCGCCCTCCTGCCTCCTCTTTTTCCATCCTCTCCAGCTCTTCATAGTTTGGAATCCGAAGCTCTAATCCCGGGTTGGGGATCACTAGTCTCATGGTGAAGAGAAGTGAACACTGAAGCGCAGACGGCGTGTCTGCTACGGCTTATACGTAGTGAGGACATGGTGTACACACGTTAACATTTACACAGGAGCCTACAGAGGTCATGACATAAATTTATGATCATTTACTACTTTGCTCCGTGAAACAGATAAACAAACAGCAAGGCTTTGCATTTATTCAGGACCACTCAGGTTTTTTTTTCAGGCTAGTGAATAATTGAAGAGGTACAGTGCCTTTTATTGTAGCTAAAAATAAAGTCAAAATCAGATGGAGC